CCCCTCAAAGATAGGAGGAGGTCCATCCCCGTGAGACATCTTTCACTAGACGGTTAAGCCTAAATATGTGAGCACGAGGCTCTCGATACCAATTGAAATGATCAAGATGCCCAAGAGGGGGAGTGAATTGGGCTAATTCTAAATTTCTTTGCAATAACTAAATCCTACGGTTAGCCCAATTAACCCCTTGTGCCTAAAAAGTGTTTCTAGTTGTTCTACCGCACAAATGACTTGCAACCTAAGTTCCAATCCTACTCTAGCATGGCAATTCTATGAATTGTAAAGACAAGAATTGAATTGCTCAATGTAAATACTCAAAGTAATTACTCAAAGGAAATACTCATAGTAAATGCTCAATGTAAATAGAGAAGGAGGAACACGGTGATGTTTTGCTAAGGTATCAGAGAGTCGCCACTCCCCACTAGTCCTCGTTGGAGCACCCGCGCAAGGGTGTAGCTCCCCCTTGATCCACGCAAGGATCAAGTGCTCTCTACAGGTTGATTTTTCAACCTTCCGTCGCGCTGAATCACCTACAACCGCTCACAACTTGAGTTGGGTCATCCACAAGCTCTCCGGATGATCACCAAGCTCTCCAATCACCACCAAGCCATCTAGGTGATGGCGATCACCAAGAGTAACAAGCACGAACTCTCACTTGACCAAGACAAGCCTAGGGAGAAGGGTGGATGCATACTTTGCTACTCTTGATCTCACTAATGAGGGCTCTCTTTGGGATTCTCAAATCTCAACCACCTCACTAGGACCTTACTCTTCTTGGCACTCTCTAAGGTGTGTTTCAGCTGTTGGAATGAGCAAAAGTAACTCCACACATGAGTGGAGCTTCTATTTATAACATGGGCTAAAAAACGAACCGTTATGTGCCTCTGCGGGGTGACCGGACGCTCCGGTCATGTTGACCAGACGCTCCGGTCAGTACTCCCCGAAAACCAGTGATTATAGTGTGACCGGACGCTGCCAATGTCCGATCAGCACTGATCGGATGCGTCCGGTCACGATTTTCCCTCTCTGGAACCATATTGAAACGACCGGACACTGGCCCTCAGCGTCTGGTCACATGACCTTCCAGCATCCGGTCGCACCGAACAATTTCACCTCGGTCAAATGAACTGATCAGACTCTGTGCCAGCGTCCGGTCACACCGAACCCAGCGTCCGGTCAGCATTTGACCCTCCATTCACTTCCAATTCTCGATCATACGTGAATGAAGTTTGCTTCAATGGATCTTAGGCATATGTAGGAGCTACCTAGCGCTAGTTTTGACAAGTGTGCACCACACCTAACTCACTAGACTCACCTAGGTCAAGCTACCCATCCATACCCCCCTTAATAGTACGGCCAAAGGAAAAAAACAAAGTCCTAAACTACTCTAAGTGTCTCTCCAACTCTAATCGACACTTAGAACTAGTCATCCTTAACCTTGTCGTCCATCCTTTGAAAACCGAAACGATCTCCATCGTAGGTGCATGACCACCATGATTGCCCAATCAATCTCCATTACCATGACCTAACTTAATTGCCTCTTTAAAACACACGTTAGTCATAGTAATCTTGTATTGTCATTAATCACCGAAACCCAACTAGGGGCCTAGATGCTTTCACTGGCCAACGCTGATTGATGAATATTTGACCATAAGAGTTCTATTGGGCAAAACATCAGCAAAACATAAGTATAGTCTAGCTAAGGATAAGAAATGAGATTCTAAGTAAATGAGCTATCCACATGGCACCCTGATTATGTTTCTAGAGAACACAGAAATCAGTGGGAGCAAAGTCCAAGGGATTGCTTTTCTACTATTATAACTTATAACTATTTCACTAAGTTAAGATTTGATGAATGTGTTCCTAAAGAATGCAAAAATCAGTGGGAGCTAGTGGGAGTTCACAAAGGAGGAAGGTTAAATCTTGGAGAGATACGGACTTAGTTTTATGTATCAATGACTCAAGAAGACATAAATATCTTAGTTTGTGTCATAAGTCATTAGTATACCTCCATTTAAATTACTATAATTTCTATTGTGGATTTTCAAGAATCAATTAGTGTGTCACAACAGATATATGTAGCAACCATTAGTGGATAATTAGGCACATAAGTAAACATCTATTGTTATTAAACTGCTTGTGATCCATGATAAATCTATAAGATGATCACATCAGAAGAGGAATTTTGTTATTCTAAACTAAACTATTTTATGAGCTTAGGTCCAAGTATATATATAAAGTGTGGGTGTTAATAAGTTTCCTAATGAAGTCAAAACAGTAGGCTACAAAAAGGGTCTACAATTATAAGCATGGCTTCAAAGGGAGTTTTAAAAGATTTAAACTAAGAACATAACCCACTATGGTTTAGAATTTCATTAAGTGGACAATTATGTTTATAAGAAAAGGTGAAAAAATTTATTGTCCTAATACTCTACATGGGTGAAGTTGAGTTAATAAGTGGCAATAGGAATGTCACATAAGAATTTTCTACTCGCCCAAAATTTTAATATGATATATTTTGGTGAAGCCTATGAGTTTTCTGGGCATTAAGATACACCAATACAGGACCATTTGAGTACTAGGACTATCACAAAAGGCATATCAAATGAATGTTTAAGTGATAGAGTTTGAATAAGTAATGCCACTCCTGTCTATTTGCATAGTGCAGTTACACAACACAATAAGATTAATTGTCCTAAATAATTCTAAGAATAAGTTAGTAACAGTTGAAGAGGAAGACGTTCCATATGCTTCGGCTGTCATTAACTTTAAGAATGCTCAAGTCAATACTAGTCTAGACTTGGCATCGAGATACTTGGCAAAAATATTAGTTTCTTAATCCAGAATAGGTCCACTGAAGGTCCTAAAGTATTTTAAATTATTGACGAGGCACCAAAAGAATCATCATGTCACTTATAAGAATTAAGAATTAGTAGATTGTCAATTCTCTTGAGTATGTATAAGAAAGTGCACAATTAGATTATACCTACTCTTGTAGAAAATGACAATTTTATTGAAAGCTCCAAATATAATTAGTTTTTAAGATGAGCTAAATTAGTGGCATGAATACGACGGGCCATGTGGCTTAAGAGATTATTCCAAGATTAAGTATTGACATACTGCTACAGGTCTATAATTAAGTTGTAGTATTATTTTGAGTAACAACAGATCAAATGCTGATGCTAAGCACATTGATTAAATGGTGTGAAAGAAAGAACCCATGATCAAATTATTAAGCCCGAGAAAAATAAAAACTAAGCTGATGCTAGCATATTTGATTATTTGAGGCTTAACATTTATCCCATTTATGAGCGCGCAAATCAATTTAGGATTTAGTGCAGAGTCTCTAACTTGATTTCTAGGTAATAGGGCCATGTACTCACAATAAGTAATAAGCGTTCTAACAAAGTATTGCAGTGAACTATGGGTAATGAGGTCTCAGTGGCGATTAATGCTGTTGACGACGTATTGGTCTGGTCTTGTTGTACTACTAAGTGTGAACATAAGTGTAAAGCGAACATTAGTTGTATAATTGCATTAGCTGTTCGATCAAGTGGAAGAATGTTTGAGTGTGATTGGTTCGACTAATCCTGAACTTAATTACGAGATTAATTAAGCGTTAACCTTTTGGTCCACCCACTCGTCATTTATTTTCAACTAAATAAGAACTGCCGTGATCGGCGGCAACCCTTAAAATTCTAAGGGTTCAGCCCCCTGGCCCATAGCGCGATTATAAATAAGAGAGGTGCCCCTGGCGTCATGATCTCTTTAATCCCCGTGACTATTCACATAACCGATCGATTAGGCGCTGGAGGGTTTAGGAAGGTCGTCTACACACGTCCATCTAGGTATTGCAAGATCTACATCGCGTTCATCACCAACTAGAAGCATCAAACCTAGATCGGGTGAAGACTAAGACCTACTTCAACTACGTCAACTTCACATCTTCAGCGACACAGATGGCGTTCATAGGCTCTGGTTAGTGTCAGATTAATTTCCGCATAAGATTTAGTTAGTGATCATGTTTAGGCTAAGATAAGATCTTGTTTATGTTAAGTTCTAATTCAACATAATTTACGCTCGGAGCAGAGCTTATAGGTTTCGCGGTTCTTCAGTCTGATTTGTGAATTGTGACAGATAAATGTCTAGCATTGTGTGGGCGTGATCTTCAGTCAGCTACATAAAACTCGACGAACGGTTCTTGGGTGCACGTCGTATATAGGTTATATAGTGTGCCTCAAGTGCAATTTTACGATATTGTATTTCAAAGTGTGTAATTAGTTTGGCATTACTCCTAAAAAATAGTTTTGGCATTTTGCCGTTTTGGAAACCATGTACGGTTCGGCTTGAATAGTTTGCAGCATTGGGAACACACGCAACCTCTCACGGTCTTCACTTGGGAGAAATTCGAGACTAGCTCGTGATACACGAAAACGACAGCATACACATCCTGACATGCCTCGGACGCGGCTGTTCTGTACCGGCAAGAAGTTCGTGCGAGGAGTTCACGGGCGCCAGCGGCAGCGGCCCATGCTGGTCAGGGGCGCGACCGCACGGTTCAACAAGTGATGCTGTGCAGATCACCGATTCACCGATCGATGTGTGTGAAGCGAAACAGAAATGCAGGAGCTACAGCACGCTATAACATAACAGCATAACACTACAGCAAAAGGCTGTCGCCCTACACCAGCCCCTTCCAGCCAAAATCACTGAATGTTTCAGGTTTGGCGTCATGACTTGGCACCCCAATTTCAGTTTATACAGGTGCTTCACTTACAACAAAGACCACTTAGAACTTGTACATCTCTGCGTCTGGCGTCATGGAAGCCTCATTCTCCAGGGGCCAGTGGTGGTGTAATCGAATGCACAGGCCAGGGATTTTCTTGATACACGCTGCTGGCACTTGGCTGCAGTACATGCTTCGCTCCAGGATTCAGCTTCACAGGTCTCAGAGTGCTGACAGCTTTTGACCACGTGGGATGCGATTCTGTGTTCCCAAGTCAAAGATCAGCTTCACCTTCGTCGTCCAGACAGATAGGCTGTGGCTGTGGCTGCACATCTGGACTGGATCCCCGGAACTCCAAACCCGTTTCTGCAAACGGCAACATATGTAACCCCTTCTGTGCGACGGTGCAAGGTTTCTTTGGTAACGTCAGGGGCACATCATCCTTTTCTGCTGGTCTTTTGCTGTTCCTCAAATGTTCCAAGCCTTCAGGCCTTGATCCCATCATAGTCCACCTCATGCTCTCAATTCCAAATATTGCGTCGCCAGGAGCACTAGAATTGCTCGGTGGATACGGTATGGGAACTGATGGGTGAAAGGTAGTAACAGATCCATGGGGCGGTGGTGCATACTCAGTGCTGTAAACATGGGAAGGGATGACCGAAGGGGGCAATGGTCGGAGCGACGTGAATTTTGTATGAGTTGTTAGACCTGGGGTTTTCTGAACAGCATAGCCTGACGCAAAAGAGGATGCCGCGGTTCTCGGTGCCATGTTGCTGAACTGTTGTTGCGTAAGATAACTGGACTGGTACGACGCTGGTCCTTTTTCCATGAAGTTTCTGGCACTGCTCCTTGTATTGAAAGATGACTCTGGCGCAACAGTTTGAGTGTGTCTGCAGTGTATAGAACCCAACAGCATGTCTTTGGTGTTACTCTGAACTTGATTTGCCATAACTGGCTGCTGATTCCCTAGCTCACTTTCGTTGCGCCAGTTCACTGGCTGAACATAGCGATTATTGGCTGTTGCTAGTTCAGGTTGCTGACTGTGACCATTTGTTCTGAAACCACTGGTACCAGGCACAAAAGCCCGTACAGCTGCTGGAACAAAAGAAAAATGTGATGGGTTTCCAGATGGTTGTCTCTCTCCATCCGGAATCCTACATGCAGATGGGGGATATACCAGTCCTCCATGAAACAATTCTGGAAAAACTTTTGTACGTGTTCCCTGGAAGAACTGATCTTCAGCTTGACTTTGTTTACTGGAACATGGAGTTTCATTATTCAGACGTGTACACTGTATGCTGCTGGTCCCAAGTGTAACTGTTTTTCCCATAAGGCGCACTGTTGTTTCGGCATTGTGTTGGGTGTCCTGCCCAAAGTTCTGGCTTAGATAGTGGTTTCGCATCCCAAGTAGCTTCTGCTGTGGATTATGATGCCCCAAACATTCAGAGCAAAAGCATTCCATTGAAAGCTCTTGCTGTTTGGCGCATGGATACTTGTTGCTCGGAATTGTGTAGTAATGAATTTTTGTTCTTTCAGAACTTGGCAACTGCCTGACATCCGTCCCATATGCCATTGGGGCTGTTGGAGTAAAACGAGGTTCTGCATGAAAAACAGACTGATCAATTGCACAAATTTGTCGAGCATGATAGCTGGGTCTCAAATTGACATGATCCGTGCAGGTAATAGAACTGAAAACGGTTGGAGAAGCTGAGGGACATGAGGAATTCTCCCCCAAACACTGCCTCCTAAAAATGTCAACAGAATTAGGGGTGCCACCAGGATGAACCTTGACGAATTCACCTCGTGAATTAATAGGAAGGCCGACATAGTCATCACAGTTGTGATTGTTCCTGCATGCAGATATACAATCAGCGGCTTGTGCTGGTTTATTTGATCCTGTTGAGGAGCTTATGCTTCTCACCATGTTACCAGATCTAAGAAGCTCAGAACTAACTTTGCCGAAGGCAACTGCCCTCTCCTGGAATGTGCTTCTGCTCCTATCATATAAACAAGAACCAGAAGGCTGTGACAATGGGCTCCTATCACCTGATATTGCCTTGGCTGCCAAACTAACATGATTAAATGATGCTTGTGAAGTCATATGGTTCTGTTCTCCAAGGCACTCAACATCAAGACTTAAGCTATTGTCACCATTCAGATGAGAGTCCACACCTTTGAAGCTTTGACAAGGCACCTTACTAGATAAGCATGCCAAACTTGCGGAATTCAAACAGTTACTGCCATGAGAAGTTTCTATGCAGTGGTTCAGATCCACTGAATTGCCCAGTACAGTGATATCTTTTGGTTTGGTAAGTGGGATTGTACGGCAAACACCAACTGGTACTAAATTTTCAGATAAAGAACTGGTACTCTCAACAGCCCCTGATATAGCTTCTGATTGTTGATAAACCAACTGTTGCTCATCTGTATTGCGGTGATCACAACCTTCCTGAGTGGGTTGCTGGAATGTCTGTACAGATTGTGGTTGCTTTGTATTATCTTCAGGTAGATGTGCAGTCCTTCTAAATTTGACAGTGCCATCAGAAAAGGTAACATGCTTTGATTTGCAAGAAGAATGCGATTTACACCTCATATCTGTGGTATTCAGTACTGTGCTAAAACCTGCTTTTGACTGGTTCTTACAAATGCTTTGAGCTTGAACACTGTTTGTCATATCCTTTGTGTGTCTTTCCATAACTGACTTTCTGTTTCCCTTCTTACTTTTCTTGTCCAGTAAGACTGAGACCTCTTGCTTTTCCTTTTTCTTGGAAGAAGAATTCTTGGGCTCCCTCTTTTTTATGGAATGCTGAACTGACTTAGAAATGCTAATTGAGGTGACCTTTACCCCGCTGTTTTTCTCCTGAAATGAGGAAAAAAGCAAATGTATCACATCTCCTGAGGTATATTATGAACATCTGTAGACATTTTCTGCTCCATATTGTATTTCAAGGTATTATTTGAACCTATCAAGAAAGTGGAAGGTTCTATTACTTTCACCATTCTATATACCTGCATTACTTAGGAACATTACACATATTTTGTAGACAGTAATTATTCACAGTCAGTCAACCAAACTATGGCATAACTCCATAACAAACAAACAAAAACACTATTTTAGTCATTCCGCACTTTGCAAAATCTTACGCAAAAGCAAGTGTACCTATAACAATTCAGCTGGCATGGATATCACATAGGAATAGAAACTACTAAGAAAGTAATTTTGAATAAAACAATCTATGTATCCAACTCAAACAACATGAAAACAACAACAATAAAGGGCATTAGACACGTGAGGCCAGTAGATACCACGGATGAAAACTAAAGGGAAAACGGACAAGTAACCAGACATTCCAACAACAGCTAGAAGGTGGTAAGAAATTTTTCTTACACCTTAGTCATTCACAATAAATAATATGGAAACAGTCAATAAGTTGTAAGTTTTAGTTACAACTGATTGCTATGCATCCAAATTATATGCCGGCAATATTTATGTCATCTGATACACCTTCTATCTAATGATCAAGGCAAAGCACACCTGAAAATTTTGTCTGGTCAGAAATAACCCAAAAGCAGGAATAATGGATGAACACAATATTAGGGGGAAAAGAAGAATAGTTTAAAGAGAAAATCCACAGCAAACTTTAAGTGGTTATTCGTGGATCTATTTTCTACTGTTGTTGCGCAATGACTATTCTCATGGCTACCGTATATCCCTAATTACATAGTGCTCCACTAGTAGCAGAATACGAACTCTCAACTCTCAAGGAGTTAGCGATCTGTGCGTATGGTCAGCTGAACAATAAGATCCACTTGTAGCGTACAAGCTCATGCAGACCTGTACTTGCCTGAGAATACAAACATTCTACTGTGCTCGACAAAATCGCAATACCAGAAATGGAAAGCAAATCGACGGTCAATGCAATGCAATGCGCGCTACCTTTTCTCTCACATCGATCACGGCCGGAACCTTTCTCTTCTTCTTGGTCTTAACACTGACAGCGAGCACTAGCTTTCCCTTGTCCTTGTCCGCCTTCCTCTTGGCAGCCTTCTTCCCCTTCCCAGACCCCTGCTGGCCGCCGCCTCGGGGCACCTGCGGCACGGCGGCGAAGAGCTCGGCGACGGAGCGCTTGCGGCGTTTGGCCGCCATCCTCCTCTCCACCTCGACCTCCTCCTCCTCCTCCACCGCCGCCGCCTCGTCCTGCCACCACAGGAACCGCCGCACCTCCACCGGCGGCAGCGGCCCCGCGTCCCCGCCGAAGGGCCAGCTCCCGCCACCCTCCGCCCGCGCCCGCGCCGCGTACTCCCTGCGTCGCAGCGACAAAAATGAAACAGTGGCACGAGATGAGCAGCAGCAGCAGCATTGGCGCAAACAATGCGGCACTGTAGTAGAGGCCGGGCCGGGCCACCAGCGCAATGCAGTACCGGATGGAGAACGCCGCGCCGGCGGCCGCCATCCCCGGCGGCGCGCGGGGCGAGGGGTGAGGTAGGTGGGCTTTAGCACCTTCGCTTTCCCCCGGCTCGGTTTCCCGCGTCGCTGCGCCGATGGCGACTGTGAGAGAGGGAAAGCAACGCGAGGAGGACTGGACTGACGGAAGCGCGCGGAGTGCGTCGTGTGGACCTGCAGGTTTTCGCAGTGCGGCAGTGGTCCTTTCACTGCTCGGGTGCGGAAGCGTCACGCGCTCGATTAGTGCTACATGGACAGTACAGTGGCAGTGCGACGGGCCATCGACTGGGCTGATCGGCCGAGACGTTAGAGGAGTGGGCGTGGGTGGACTGGGAGTGGGTATACTTGCCAAATGGGCCAGGCCCGCTGGGCCGGCACTAAAAAGCCCAGCCCGAGGGCCATCGTACCCGTGCCAGGCATGGCCCGGTGATAGCGCCGTGTCTGGGCCGCGACTTCGGCCCACAGTGCCGGCCTAGGCACGGTACGGTTAATGGGTTGGTGAAGGGTCGAGATGACGGAGTAGAGGGGGTGAATAGTCTTTTCTAAAATTAATCGCATCGGCTAACCGATATAAATGCGGAATAAAAACAATCGGTCTAGCCAAGACTATACCCCTCTATATATGTTCACTAGCACCTTGCAAAGATACTAATTATGCAACTAAGGTGCCGGGCTAGCTAGAGCTCTCCTAAACAATTCTAGGAGCAAGGTCACACAAACCTATGCCACTAGTATTTTAAGCAATAAGGAAACTCCTACACATGCTAGTAAACAAAAGCATAAAGCCAACTAAGCTCACTAGCAAAGCTCAATAACAAGGCAACCAATGCCTAATTAGATAGCACAAATACTTAGCTACACAAACTAAGCAATGTGACTAACAAGGTTACTAAAACCAAATTAACCACGCAAGGGAGCTACTTCTATGCTACACAAGCAAGAAGATAATTAGCAAGCTACACAAGCTATCTAATTACAAGAGCAACTGCACAAGCTTAATATGTATAAAAGTAATTGCAAGCTTGTGTAATGGGGATGCAAACCAACGGGAAGAACAAGGTTGACACGATGATTTTTCTCCCGAGGTTCACGTGTTTGCCAACACGCTAGTCCCCGTTGTGTCGACCGCTCACTTGGTGGTTCGGCGGCTAATTAGCATCACCCGCTAAGCCCGCACGTCGGGCGCCGCAAGAACCTACCCCTTGAGTGAGGGTGGCTCAATGACACGCTTTACTAGAGTTGCTCTTCGCGGCTCCCGTGGGGCGAGCACAATACCCCTCACAAGCACTTCTCCGGAGCGCCGCACAAGCTTCTTGCGCGCTTCGACGGAGACCACCACCAAGCCGTCTAGGAGGTGGCAAACTCCAAGAGTAACAAGCACCACCGGCTCGCAACTCGATCACCTAGTGCCACTCGATGCAACCTCACGATGCAATCGCTCTAGAATCGCTCACTCACACAATCGGATGATCGCTATCAAGTATGTGTGTGATGGAGGGCTCCCAAGCACTCACAAGCATGGACACTAAGTCCCTTGAGGTGCTCAAGACCACCATGGCCGAGGGCCACTTCTATTTATAGCCCCAAGGGCTAAACTAGCGTTACCCTTCATTTGGCAGCGGTCGGGCCGACCGGACGCTCCGGTCGTGTTGACGAGACGCTGGACCTCGGCGTCCGGTCATCCATAGACGACCACGTGTCCCGGTTCCAACGGTCACTTGACTTGATCGGACGCAGCGGTAATAAAAATCGACCGGACGTCAAGAAGCCCGGTGTCCGGTCATTTCGAGAAGCTCCACGAGGCATGTTTTTTTCGACCGGACGCGTTTCGGTCCACCTTGACCGGACGCAATGGCCGGCGTCCGTGCAATACCCTCGATGACAGCAGAGACCCGTCGGCTTGACCGAACGCGCCGACCTTCGGCGTCCGGTCATTTGCAGATGACCAATGTCGGTCGGCCGGTGGACCGACGCCAAAGATCTTCGCGATCAACTCGTTTTCACTTCTAACTTCTTCACCCTTGCTCCAATGTGCTAACCATAAGAACTTGCATCCGGCGCATGCAATAGAAAATAGGCATTCTATTTTCCGAAAAGCGCGAATCCCTCTCGCAGAGCTTTTCGGGAGGAGGAGAGAGGACCCAAACCCATCTCACCCTCGCAAACACCACCTCCTTTGTAAATGTGCCAACACCACCAAGTGTACACCACCATGTGTATGTGTGTTAGCATTTTCACAATCATTTCCCAAAGGATGTTAGCCACTCAACTTGCCACGCCACTCGATCCTAGCGACAATGCAAAGTTAGATCACTCAAGTGGCACTAGATGACCGATATGCAAACAAGTTTGTCCCTCTTGATAGTACGGCCATCTATCCTAAACCCGGTCATAAACTTCTCTACACACCTATGACTGGGGTGAAATGAAATGCCCTAGGTTATACCTTTGCCTTCATGCATTCCATTCCATCTCCTTCAATGTCGATGCAACACATGCACCAACACGATCAACAATGATATGATCCACTTCATATCATCACATGATCATATTGGTTCATCGATCTTGACTCTACTTGCTCTTCACCGTTGCTATCGTCCATCGGCGCCAAGTCTTGCTCAAGCTTCACCGCCACGCGGTCCATCACTCCAAAGCCTTTGACTTGCCCTTCACACTTGCAACCGGTCCATCAAGCCAAGTCTTGTCTTGATCTTCTCCACCTTGATCACATGACTCAATGTCATGTCTCATGTGCAATAAGCTCCTTCATCATCACATGTGTGAGCTTTGCAACATCTCCAAGCCATTTTCACCTCCATGGCATATGTTGCTCATACACATGTACCTGTGGACTAATCACCTGTGTATCTCACATAAACACAATTAGTCCACCTAGGTTGTCACTCAATTACCAAAACCAACAAGGACCTTTCAGTTGGCACTATGCGGTCCGATCTATTTCCACCGTTGGATGAACTCTAGATGAATTACAGCCCTTGGATGAAAAGTATGAGGTATATAAGCACCACTTCCTCCTCCTAACCCTAACTCCTTCACTCTCTCCTCTCCTATATGAGCACCACACGACACCTTCTTCACCACCACGACAGCGACGGCGGCTGCACATTAGCATGGTGGGGCGGCCACCGCATTTACGGCAGCGCGCGTCCACGCGGTGGGCCTTCGGTTGCTACGGCGCTGCTGTCAGCGCAGTTGGAAGCGCTTCGGCTGCGGTGGCGCGACGTCCGCGGTGGTGGGTTGCAGCGTCGTCGCGATGGTCGCACTTTCGGCTACGACAACCCTCGTCTGCTTGGCTGCAGGGCTACATCGTCCACGCGGTGGTGCTGGCTGGGCGTCGATTCACTCCTTGGGCGGAGCCGGGCTCATGGAAGCACGACGAGCCACCATGCTCGTTGGTACGGCACGGCACGGCAAACAAGCTATGGGGTCGTGCCTAGGCTAAGACTTCAGCACGGCAGCACGATGCGGCACCGTGCCCAACCATGCGCCGTGTTCGTGCCCGTGCCGTACCGTGCGGCCCGGTTGGCCATGTATAGAGTGGGGCAGGCACCTGGTGGATAGCCGACCTGCCAGGCCGAGAGCGCCAGGCAAGCGCCCCTGCTTCCGCAAGGCTTTTTCAGAAATTAAAAAAAAGGTTAAGCTTTTCAAAAACTGATGATTTTTATTCTAGTTGATTAAGCTTTTCAAAGCCAAATATGAAAGGTTATCTAGTAGATAATGCTTAGGCAGTAATTATTTTGTTTCAAAAATATTGTAGTAAGTGGAATAAAGTCACATAATCACAATTCACATGTTGGCCATGATCACATGCATCAGTTTGCCAAAAAAAACATTCAAACCATGATATTGGAGTACTAATTTTATGCTTTGCAACATTAATCAGCGAGAAAGTAACAAATCATTTACTAATAATTTCTCATTGCCTTCATCTTGATTTGTTTTGCAAAAATATCTAAAAAATCATCTAAAGCAAATCAGTTTTTTTCTCTCCCTATTTTTTGGGCCAAATCACTAAGCAAATCAGATTTACTCTGGGGAATCACCTCTTTTTTTGGGAACTGGACTAGGTCTTAGTCCCCGGGTAGTAACACCAACCAGTCCAGGTTCCCCGGGAAGGAGTAAGCATTCCTTTAGTCCGGTCAGAACGAGGACTAAAGGGGTCCTTTAGTCCCGGTGAGTAACACCAACCGGGACTAAAGGTATCCTTTTAAAAAATAATATCTCCCTTGGTCCCGTGAGATTGAATCTCATGCATTGCTCTCATGTAGTAGCTTACCACCCCACCTACACAACACATCCGACCTCCTTTGAACTTCATCTATCTTTAGCCCAGCTGGCACCAACCGGGACTAAAGGGTCCTTCTCTCTCTCTCACAACGCAAGGTTGATGGTGGCTCCAAAGTAACGCATTAGAGCAGGTTCAATAAGATATAGCCAAGCCAAATTAGTAAGAGATTATTACAGCAGATAAGCCATACAACAAACTAGTCTCTTAGTGTCTCATACAATAAAATTTTTATTTGAGGCCCATGCTTCACGCACATAAAAAGTAACGCATTAGAGCAGGTGCTTCTGCAAAATATCAACAAACTACTTAGTGTCTCATACAATAAAATTTTTATTTGACATGCTTCGTAGTGTGCTTCTGCAAAATATCAACGCTACGAAATAAGGCTATGACTGACATGGCAGTTGCATGTGGATGTGGAGGACAAGGTAGCATCGCAACATGACATGCTGGCGCACTAGTGCTTCATGAACCCCATGTTGGACCGTCAAAACACAAGGGATGCTTTCGGCGTCAATATGGGTATTAGAAATCTGGAACGGTAAGCGTAACTAGCACGAAGAAAATTCTCTCTAATGTTCAGGGAATCAAAACATAGAGTAAATATGCAAATGGCATGCGCAGTTGCGCACACGCTCATGTGGTCGGGTGCAGCACAAGGTCAAGCGTCTATTGCGTTTGGTGGTCGGCAACACACAACT